ATCAAGGCAACACAACACTCCCCGTATGCCCGTGTCTAACTTGTGTAAGGCAACTTGGAACAACGATATGAAGGAGGGTGCTCAACGACCATTCCAGGGCCCCAACCTGCCTTTCGAGTTTCGCGCCGTTTGGTAATTGGTCGGCAAACGACTGCACCACAGATGGGATCTCCTGGTACATTACCAGGGGCTCTCTAGGTGTTTCCAACGGATGAGTAGTTCCCACTGGTTTGAACCAGGGTTGCGTCTGGTCAACAACCAGGGTGGTCCCATGCTCGCTGACGTGGGCGATGATTTCTTCTGGTAATGGGGAAGTGGCTTTCCTCATAGAACATGAGCCGTGAATGATATGCTTCGCGCGGGGCTCTTCCTCTCTCTCAGCATGATCGCACGAGTCCCAGGAATATCGCGATTGACGCGTTTGACCGTTCCGTTGCGCCAAGGGCAGTATGCGAGCACTATGTTGTGCTGCGCTCGTAGCTCGTCGCAAGTTCTTTCACGACGGAGTACTTGAAATGGCTTCCGCCGTCTGAGATGCAAACTTCTAGGACTACAAATAAACCCGACATTCTATGGTGGCTTCAACGTCGACTTGTCTTGTTGGGATGTCGCATGCAATGAGGCAGTAGTAGTGGGTCAAGTCGCCATGCTCCGCCTATAAATAGAAAGTCGAAGTGTAGGTCTTCGTTTCGGTGTGTCGTGTGCCAAGTATATTGTTGAGGTCGTCGAATGACCCTGTCATCACTAGTGTGCGGGCACAGCAAGCGCGAGCGCGTCTTTATCCATGCCGTGAGCTTTGCATCAAGCTCGCGGATGTAAAAGATTTTCCGCATGTGGTTTGGCTGAAAGATTGACAACTACAGCAGTGATCAAGAAACCTCGTAATTTACTCGTCTACTTGTCAAATATGAAGTTATTGATCAAATATGTAAATATAGAGGTATATTTCCATCGCCCTTCGACTCAAATTCTTCTTGTAATCACAACGACAGCTCAACAAGTTATCCTCAAGAGTGTTTTCTAACCATTCCTTTACTCGTAACTCATAATTCATCACTCTTTCATCGCCTGTGTACCATGCGCCTCAACGTGTCGTCGATCCTGGAGCACTTCCAGGACCAGACTGCCTCGGACAACCTCTACCTCTAGCAAAGCCTGGACGAATACGGCGATGCCATCCTGGAAGAGGACGAGTTCCACGAAACCAACAACCCCATCATGAACAAGACCCTTCTTGACGCTGGCGCTTAAGGATTCCATGTGTTAACCAACTTTACACCGGAGGAATTCGAGGTCATCTGGGGGAATGCTGATCTGCTATGACATCACGTTGGAATGACGTTCGGCGTCGGAAGTCCGCAACAAGTGCCAAAGACGCGCTCTTGGTTACTTTATCAGTGATGAAACACTACCAAACCTGGGAAAAACACGCTGTGGACTTCGGCCTGAAGGCACCAACGCTGGAGAAACTCGTCGTGAAGGTGGCCGCCGTGTGCTCCAAGCTCCTGCACGACTGTTTCGTGTCTCTTCCCCGCATGACGACGCTTCGCTCCAAGTGCAAGGTGTTCACCCACTACCCGTGATGTGTGATCAATGTGGGGGCACGACGCAATCCGAGGTCACGATGTGGGACCCTGGCGACGACGTCCACGCTGTTCAATGCCGAGGCTATTATGTGTGATCAATGTGGGGG